CAGGGACGCGGGTGGTGCTGTGGGTTAAACCACAGAGCTTGCCGATCAGAAGGTCGGCAGTTTGAATCCCCGCGATGGGGTAGGGTCCCGTTGCTTGGTCTCAGCTCCTGCCAACCTAGCAGTTCAAAAGCATGTCAAAGTGCAAGTAGACAAATAGGTACTGCTCCAGTGGGAAGGTAAACGGCGTTTCCATGCGCTGCTCTGGTTCGCCAGAAGTGGCTTAGTCATGCTGGCCACATGACCCGGAAGCTGTATGCCGGCTCCCTCGGCCAATAAAGCGAGATGAGTGCCACAACCCCAGAGTCGGTCATGACTGGACCTAATGGTCAAGGGTCCCTTTACCTTTACCTTATGTTGACTACAGTGGAATGCCTCCTGCAAAGCCCATACCTCTTAAGCTGTTCCACCCTGTCAATAGCTGCATAAACTTATTTGTATAGAATCTATTATTCTAATTGTATGTGTTGGGGTGCTGGCACCGGCACAGGAGCAAAAGTGGCATCAGTACCAAAGCAGCACTAGCATAAGGAGAGCAGCCATCTCCATAAGCCTTTGTTAGGATTACTATGTAGGATCCTGTGAGCCGCTACCATGTAACCACTACCACAACTTACAGGAGTGTGCCATTAATTTGGCTGCCTCTGTACCTCTTTAACATGTAGTGTGCGGTACCTTTTTGTGGCATGGCAATTTAATTGTTTATAACCTTGCATTTTGAGATAATACTGATTATTATAATCCTGAGTTTCATAGATGCAGATTGAACCAGTGTTTTTCTTCACTATAATCACCTATTCCTATTCCTCCCGCCACTGGTTCCAGCTTCTGCATGTAGCACTAAACCAGTTTAGCATTATGTAGGAATGCAGCCAATGACTCATACTTTTGTGGAACCACTGTGTTTAGCAGCCTGTTTTTTATGCGGAGACATTTTCATACGTACATTTAAACATTTTCATGCACTGCTAACATGTACAAGCATATAAACATTTGTCCTTTGCTAGCTGCCTGCCATTGTGGGTCCCATTTAAGTAGACACTGCTATGATCAGTTTGTTATTAATGGCTGTGGTTTAAGCCACTTAGTGCAACATACATGAGGTGGAATAAGCCCAAGCAAAGCCTTGAGCTTGTTTATTCCCTCTTGTTCTACCTCCTGTGTAGTCAGGAGACTTCGGTTGTGTTAAGTTTCACTTTCAGTGAATCCTGGCTTGTTATATCATATGAACCATGGAATGATTCACACACCACACTAAGCCAAACAGTGGTATAGCATGATGTGTGAACCAGGCTGTTGTAGTTTAAAACAAAGTATTCAATTTCAAACTAAGAAAACTTCAGAGCATGATTAACCAACCTTTGTTTTAAACCTCTTCTCTGGTTAATATGGCATAGCAAACTGGGATTTTCTGAAAGTGAGACCAAATGCGGAAGGAGAAGGGGCAGCAGAGTACATAAGCCAAGGGATTTGCTCAGGTTTGTTTTAGCTTTTGCACGTAGCACTAAACCACAGTTTAGTGTTATGTAGGAATGCAGCCAATGACTCATACTTTTGTGGAATCACTGTGTTTACCAGCCTGTTGTTTTTTTTAACATGGAGAGTTTCCTTCCCTATAGAATGTGCATGGTTTTTTTCTTTTTAAGGAAACCATTGTCGCAGACTCTGAAAGCTGGAGAAATGGAAAAAATCATAAGTCGCTGCCAAGTCTGCATGAGGAGACCCAGCTAAACAGAACTGTCATTAGAGAACGAAGCTCCAGTTTTGTGTCGCCAAACTAAAATAAACCAAAAAGGTTTTGTGAACTTGTAATATGGTGTTTTAAAAGCTGCAGAGATGAGAACGCACTCCACAAAGTAGTGGAAGCAAAGTGAAGGGGAAAGGTAACTTCTGGACCAAGCATGCCACTCATTTGTATGTCGGATACAGTTGCACTCTCTGCTGCTTTAGTGTAACTGTTGGAATCTTTTCAATCTCCTCTCCCCTTTACAAAGAGAAAAGTAGCCCCCTGCCTGACCAGATATGTGACCCTGCTCTCTAGGGTGAACCAGCATACAGCAGCACTCTTACTGAAGGTAGCTAGCTGATAATAAAGCACAAGTGGCCCAGGCATCATTCTCTGTGTTAGTTTATTCCAGCAGTTACAGTATAACACAAGGCCGGACTCAAGTGAGTTGTTGTGCTGGTGGGAGCCAGTGCAACAAGTCCTGCTAGGGCAATGGGACTTCCCCACTCTCTTCTTCCTTGGATAGCTCAGTTGGTTAGAGTGTGGTGCTGATAATGCCAAGATTGCAGGTTCGATCCCCGTATGGGATAGCTGCATGTTCCTGCATTGCAGGGGGTTCGACTAGATGATCATCAGGGTCCCTTCCAGCTCTACAATTCTATGAATCTTTCCATGCAAGCATCTGCTCGGGTCAGGAGAACCCCCGGAATGGGTCGCAGGGGAGGAGAGAGATGATCATTCCACCTAGCAGGCAGAAATATTTGTGCTTACAGAACAATTGCTTTAATATGACGCTGAATTCCACTCACAGAGTGAAACTATCCAAAATGCACATGAATGTGATATGCTGGGATCAGATACTATGCCTTCCCTCCACTTTCTGTTTCCAACACTAGGTGGCGTGTGTTCTTTTCCTCTACAGTTTCACAGGTGCCTTAACTAAAGCCAAACTGTATTTGCACAGTAAACTTGAAGATACCAATGCTGTACTATAATGGAATTTGAAATAGTGCAATATTTTAGCTTTTGTTTCTAGTAAAATGCAAAGCACTTTCTTGGAGTAAATTGTTTGTGTTGGCAGTACTAAAAGGTTGTCACCTTCTGAACTCTGCCAACTCCTGGGTCAGTATAAATCTGAACTAGAGCGTCGCCGGTCTTTTTAATCTAGAAAAAGACAGCTCAAGCTGCCTTTCTTGTGCTTTTCTACCTGAAAAATGGAGCAATCAGGGTAGTGTTGGTTTACATAAGTGTTGCCAAAGCAGATATTATTTAAGTTGAAACTCTGGCACAACAAGCAATTAAGTGGGAGGGGGCTGCATGAAACTTTCGAAAGTTCATCAAATGAATTATAATTCTCCAGTCGCCCTTCCTTTGGCAAAGAAAGAGAATTTTAACATATTCATAGCAGTGCAATAGAAATTTACAAGATGAACTTGTAGGTTAGTTGCTCTCTAAATACATCCGTGATACATTTGCCTATTTAATGGCTCCTACTAACTTCAGTTAGTAGTTTGGCCAGCCTTACTAAACGAGTCCTAAAAAATGCAAATCTTACGTGATTTATGCTGCCTTTGGATCGGTTCCAGATTAAGCTAGCTATGCTTTAATCCCATTGAAATAAAAGGGACAAGGGAAGCATGAGTACCTTAAATCCCTTTGGGACTAAGGTATGACTAACCTAATACGGCTCCAGCCTGAGGCTACTGAGGCAGAACTGACAAACTATAAATGGTCACTCTCCTGATAACCCTTAACAAGAATAATCAACCAGAAACTGAAATGGAAGAAAATTGGTTTTCATTCAGCCTGTATATGTAGCACAAATGATTAGTATACAGTATTGTATTATGTGTTGAAACTGTGCTTGTAATTTTTATTTTTATTTTGAGGCTGAATAGGCTTATTCAGAATGAGGCTGGAGTATGATGTCAGAAATGTGCACCAAATTTAAATGGGATCTCCCATAAGAATATTTTGTATGGTACTTTAGCCACTGCAATAAATGCAAAACCTCTCCTTTTTGTCTCTATTATAAGGTAGTATCTGCACATTTAATTTGTTCTAAACTGTTTTATTGTTTGTATTTTACATTGTTGTGACCCACCATGGGGCCTTATGGTGAAGGGTGGATAATAAATCTAATAATAATAACTTTTGTGGACATAAATGGTGGTTGAAAACATCAGCCAAATTTAATCAGAGTCCATCCAGTGAAACCCAAGCAGCTAAAGGTAATAGCTTTTCAGCAAATTCAAGTGGTACTGTCTGGGAAAAGGTTTATATAGAACCTGTGGTTTAAGTAAACCGACTCTGCAACCCTATGCATTTACTCAGAAGTAAGTCACACTGTATTCAATGAGCTTTCAGAGCAATCTTATATGTGTCTATTCAGATGAAAGCCTCATTGACTTCAATGAGATTTGTTCCCAGGTAAAGTGAGTATAGGAGTGCAAATTTAGGTACGTACATCATTCTGATCCAGCAAAGGAGACTTCCATGCACAGCTAATGCAGATGTCCATCTGGATCTAAAAACTCATGACAAGGTACATCCAATTCCTGTTGAACTTGATGATGGGGGCTGCACAAGCAATCCCAGCTTAGGGCCACTAGTTGCGTTAGTGTGCAACAAAGCACAGCTGGAATTGGATCAGGGTCTTTATATATTATTATAATTTATGTACGTTTTTTGTATAAAAGTGTAGTTCTGAATGTTTTGTATTTATAACATTGCACTTGAAAAAAATACGGAAAATATTAACGTTAACATTAAGGTTGCTCAATGCTTTTGCACAAGTATCAGCACTGCAATATTTAACAATAATAATCTTATCTCATTAATCTACATACTTGTGTAAATGTATAATTCTAAATAAAGGATTTAGAGATCTACAAGTGCGCCATTTCCCCCTCATTACTAATGGGTATTTTTGCAAGTAAACATTTTTATTTAAGTTATATTTTGATTACTCTGGTGTCTGTCTTTTAATGGTGGACTTTTAGTGATAACAATGCTGCAAAATCATTCTGATGCCAAAGCTTGCTGTGCTGAAAATTAAGTGCTTAAGCCAACCCCAGAATCATTACAGCATCACAGATAATTACATTATATGGTAGAGCAAGAACACTTCATATGCTCTGTAACTGCAGGCAATCAGATGTGTCAATGCAAATGTTCTGGTAGTAAATAAAATGTCTTGTGGGACAGATTTTTGAATTATATTCTTCTTTCTGGACTCTTATCAATAGCACTAATCAATCAAACACAAACTTCTTTTAAAGTGACTTTTTATTAGATGCATGGGAAAGGACATAAATTCCTGGGCCCCCAATATCTACCTGAATGTTAACTATTGGCTTAATCCATGTTTCATAGAGAATAGATTGTTATGCAGCTACAACTAAAATTTAGAAGGAAAGCTTATATGCAATAAAAGATGAGAACATAGCAGATACAAATTAAAAACAGCACACAAACTAATTTGCTAAGAGTTTAAAGTTCTTAAAGGATGGGGGGATGGGGGATAACATAGGAAGCCTGTGCTTGATGTCAAAAGAAACCTCCCTGGATGCTCCCATTTCACAGATGAGGCACAATCACTGAGAGGGCTCTTTCCCCAATTCCCATCTGCTGTATCTCATTTGTTGAACACCTACAGAAAACCTCCAAAGTTGATCCCAGGGCAGGCTAATAAGCAACCCTAAAACAAGTAGACCATTGCATGTTTATAGGTTTCCCATCCTTCCCATAAATAAAAAAATGTACAGCATCTACTGTTTATTTTGGAAAGGGGGTTGTCTGTTTGATATGCATTTGGACACCTCTTCAGTTACCATAACCAAATTTTGCATTATGATTCCTGAGATCCAGAATCAGGATTTTGTTTGTTTAGATATAATTGGGCACCATTTTGAAACAATATTAACCCTTAACCCTTTCCAAGCTGCACTGATTTTAATGACTGACTTCAAAACTGCATTAATTTTTTTGTTTCTTGGAATTCCTGAGCAGCATCAGGTATAAGGCTGCTAGTATCCAATAAAGAACCTTTGTGTGTTTAATGCATGTTTTTATATGGTGTTTTGCATCACATGGCAGCTATGGAAAGTTAGCATCTTAGATCACTGGAAGCACCTGTAATAGCTGCCCTATGTTGATAAAAGAACTTTAGGAAGCTCAATCACAGGGAAAGACTAACAGGTTCTTTTAAACAGCTTTGGCTAATGTACTTGACTCTCACTATCTGGTGTATGCAACAACATATCTGAAACACACTGATTCATCAGCTAGTTAACAAACAGTGCCTAACAACTCAGAAGTAAATCCTATGGGATTCACGTATGGTAAGAATTGTAGCCCAACTCAGCAGCATCAGTGGAATTGTCAAAGGAGGGAGTTCTTTACAGATTACCAACGGTTATGGTTTGGCTATCCCTTAAGTTTTTTAACTACCAGCCTAGTCTTATGCATGTTACTCAGCAGTCTCACTAAGTTAAAGGGTGCTTACTCTCTAGCAAGTGTACATAGGGCTGCAGCCTTGGGCAATTTTGATTTTGTGGTACTTGTAAACATTTAAAAGTGCAGGTTGGCTGCATGCAAGTTAATAGAGCACAACATTTTTGTGTACATTTGAGTGCTGGATTTGGGCTGGCAGGGGCAATATAAAGAACATGACATTTTTTTTGCAATATGAGTAGTTTATTTGGAAAACTTTTGGCTGGAAATCCAAACCAGCCTCTGCCTCACCTAACCTGTACTAATAATAATGGACAGCACTGCAGCAGTCATAAACCTCTTTGCCTGCAAAATGGGCTGTACTGGTGGCGTTGGAAATTGCAGGTGCCAGCCTTTTCTTTTTAAGGGTTTGATTATAAGTGCCTCACTCAGAACAAGACCTGAGTACAAGAAAATCTCTAAAGACAATGAGATGCCCCCCTCTTATTTTTTTACTTATTCTGTGTGGAAGCAAAATGAATGATTGACAGGAAAGTAAGAGGGAAGAGAATAACATAATCCACGAGAATTATGTTTTGAAAAAGAACCTATAAATACACAAGCAGATAAATTTCCAAAAGGAATACATGTACTGTAATTCAGTAACCACAATGCAAGCGTACATGTAACTAAGCCCCATTAAATTCAGTGGGAGTAGCCACAAGACTGCAATTCATTTTACAGTTAGTTGAAGTGTGCCTATGCTTGTGGAAGTTAAAAGGAAATATCTCCTGAGATCATACTTCTGGGGGTTGGGTGGAACTATAGAGCAAGGCAAGAAATCCCATTCGCTGAGCATAATGGTTAAAAGCACCATCCTAGGCTAGTCTACTCAGAAGTAAGTCCCACTAAGTTTATAAGATCAGGCTAGTGCAGTGGCTCATCTAGTCCAGCATCCTGTTCTCGCGGTGGTCAGTGGAGCTTCCTCCCAAGTATGGGTGTACCGGCTTGAAAGCACTGATTCGAATCTCACAGCCCTAACTCCAATATCTGAAAATAATAAAAATTGATATACCTTTTATCGTAGGATTGTAATGTGCGTGAAGTGCCCTGAGCATGCGAATGTGCAACGCATGTATATACATATACATATACTGCTTCTTGGGAGAAAAGCAATGACAAACCTAGACAGCATCTTAAAAAGCAGAGACATCACTTTGCCAACAAAGGTCCGTATAGTTAAACCTATGGTTTTCCCAGTAGTGATGTATGGAAGTGAGCGCCGGACCATAAAGAAGGCTGATCGGCGAAGAATTGATGCTTTTGAATTATGGTGTTGGAGGAAATTCTTGAGAGTCCCATGGACTGCTAGAAGATCAAACCTCTCCATTCTTAAGGAAATCAGCCCTGAGTGCTCACTGGAAGGACAGATCGTGAAGCTGAGGCTCCAATACTTTGGCCACCTCATGAGAAGAGAAGACTCCCTGGAAAAGACCCTGACGTTGGGAAAGCTTGAGGGCACAAGATATATTACTTTGAAAGCAAGTGGGGCGGGTCTACAAAACAACAAAACCTTAGCAGGATATTAAGCTCCCTTCCCCGCTCTTAACCCTGAATATCTAGGTCTTCGCCGCCCGCAGCCGCCAGTGTATCAAAAAAACCTATCTGCAAATTCCGCAGCAAACTGAAGCTGAGCATCACATATGAGCCAAATCCCCCACACTTATATAAGGGCCTGAGCTCTCTTACAGAACATGGGTCTCATCGCCTAAACCACGCTGCATCGCCAGGAGCAGCAGGGAAATGAATCCACGGTACGGTACTTGCTTCCTCCGAAGCAGCATCGTGACGACAGTAAAGATGGCCGCTGCACCTTCAGCCCCTGCCGGCTACCTTTTTTCCCTCCCCACCCCTTTTCCCGTCACGTGAGGTGTCACGGCTCATTCTTCCCCCCGCCGGTTACGGCAACTCTGTGGGGCCAATCGGGGTCGGGTTTTTTTTGTTTCGTTTCGTTGCTTCTGTTCCAGGGCTGTGTAGGCGAGGGGCTGCTTGGATGCCCTTTGGCTAACGGCCCCGGAGAGAGAGAGGGGAACCGAGACCAAAGCGGTCGGAGTGGATACCCGGGACCCAAGAAGCCGCCTCCCCGTTGGCCTCAGGGTGAGAACCGGAGAGAGTGCTGGTCTGGGCCTTCCCTTCCCCTCAGAAGGAGGCGGTGGCGGGGGGCGCGGGAATGGGGAGGAAGCTGCGAAATTAGCACACACACCTCCCACCGCCGACCAGATGCCCGAGTCCAACCGCCGTGGCGCCTGGTTCCCTCAGCATTGGCGGGAGGGGGGGGGCTTTATTCCCGCCCCATCTTTGAACCCCCTTCCTCATAAATAACGGTCCCTCAGCCCACACAGGTTCCTATCAAATCGTTGCCTCAGCCCGCCTCCCCGGCCGTTGCCGTTATTCCTCGCCCCCACCCCCGTCGCCGAGGCCTTTGTTACTGTCATGTCAAATACCCCCCTCTCCAAAAAAAATACCCATTGACCTGTTGGCTTACTGCGCTTTTCTCGGTTTCTGACCAGAGTCTCTTCACCCTTCCCCACCTCTCAGTTCGGCTATGGCTGTAATTTCTATGCTCAAGAGGCCTTTACATGCTATATATTACATGCTTTGTGCTGAAGGTTCTTGTCAAAGCACCCAGCTTGCCACGTTGAGGAAATGGGTGCTGAATTGGGTAGACCTCTGCTCCGATCCTGCCTTGGGCTCTCCTTAACTGTTACTGCAGAGTTTGCCTTATGAACCTGTTACACTCCTTGCCCTCAGGCCGTTAAGCATTGCAAACCACGTCTTTGGTGCGCCTTAAGAAGATCCCTGCAGGATCAGCCCAAAGGCTCATCTCATCCAGCTTCCTCTTCTCAAAGGAGGCATCATGGGAAGCCCGTAAGCGGGATCGGTGCACCGCAGCACTTTCCCCACTTGTGGAGTCCCAGCGACTGGTATTGCGAGCCAAGGGTCAGACACTCCTCTGTTGCCTGAAGATTTGGGTAACAACTTCTGGCAGTGCTTTTATGCCAAAAGCTGATTTCTGCATGTGCCAGCAGTTCCACTGGCTTTCCCCCAAACCGGTGTCCTTCAGATGCTGCCGATGTAGAGTGCTTCAACCTGACACACTCATCCACAGGTGCACAAGGCTTACAGGGATTAATGTTGGTTCTTTGGGCTTTCTTCAGTGGTTGAAGGGATTGGCCCTGGATTCTTGGCCTTTGCTATCAAAGTCGGACCACAGGTACCTCATCTATACTGTCCTTTGTTCACATCTTATTCTGCATCTTAAGATTCTCAGTAGGGGTTGAGCCTTTTTACAGAAGTGTGAACATGCTGACGTCCATGTCATAATTGTTCCCACTTTTCTGTATGGCAGCAAAATAATATCGCTTGCTACATTGCAACATATGCAGCGTGGTTAGTTGTATTCTGATTTCTAAACTCCCACCACATATACTTATTCACCCTTGTGAGATTTGCAGTAAACCATATGCTTAAGTAGGCAGATTCCCTGTCTTGTTTTTGGATCTGCTTGCCATGTAGCCTAGGATAAAAGCAAGTGTTAGAAACCAAGTAGTCTCTGCTTTGTTGTAGTTATATTTAGATAGGCACAAACACAATCTATTTTTATTTAGGATGGTTTAATTATTTTGTAAATTTAGCAACTGCCATCTGATTGCATATTTTGCTCCTTCAAGAGTACATCTGTTGAATTATACTTCCATTCTTGTAAAAATCAGAACTGGGGACTTAAAAATTTGGCATTTATGAAGCCTCATAAGTTTAAGTATATGGAAGATATCTGACATTTACTTACTGAGCTCACATTACGGAATAGATGGGTACAGATTAGATATGTCGTAGGTAATAAATATTTAATTATGTAATATGCCTAATGCTGTTTTCTGTTCTTTTTTTCCCTCCCCCCTTTACAGCTCGAAAGCAGTTGTCATGCTGTCTTATGTACAAAAGTTCCACTGTTTAGGGATACTGTTACGTAAAGTGAACAGTGCTGCAGTGTAGTGATATTAAAACGTTGCAAGCAAACAACAAAATGAGCAAGCGATCAAGCAGTGACATTCCTGTAGGAAGGTTAGTGAAAGCTGTAGAGTTGAACTTGTGCTTGTAGAAGCAGATAGAAGACTGACTCTTGTAGGTATTTTTATCTCTGTTGATTGCAATATTTAAAAAACTGTTATCTAGCCTAATGTGTTCCCTTACTTGAGGAAAAGGAGGCCTTGCCTCCTTTTCACAGAAATTTGGATAAAGAAACAATAGAAATGTATTCTTCAGTTTGCAGCACAGGTAAACATTTGGTAGTTAGCGCCTATACTTGCAAGCAGACTAGTGGAATTTTGGTGTTTTGTGGAGCTACATCTCATTGGCCTCAGCCAACATGGGCAATGGTCTGGGAGTTGGAGTCCCACAACATCTGGAGGGCTCTGTGTTGGCTGTCTCTGCCTTAAATGTTAAGAAATCCTTAATATGAATCTATATTGGTGAATTTAAAATGCATACAGGTTGTAACTGTTAATTTTGTTTGATTGGCTTTGAAGAAGTCTCATTATTTGAGAATGGAGAATGCTGATATGGCCTGCGTTGTCTTCCATCAGAACACTGGCATCTTCAAAAGTGTGCTTTGTTCTTGGCCAGTGGTGGCTAAGCTTTTTTGGCCCAAGGGCCACTTTCACCCTTGGCTGCCCTTCTGGGAGCCACATTCTAAAGTTGGGCATGGCCAAAAGAGTGTGGCCATTCCACAGTCTCCTGCACACTGTTCCCCCACACAGCAAAGGACACAGGCACTCAGGTGCATAGCCCCTTCTCCTTTACTTGTATGTGCATAGCAGTTAAGGGGAGAGCTTAATCACCCCTGTTCTTGCCTGTTAGAAAGATATGTCTTTAAAATAAATTGCCCAGAGCTAGGCACTCATTTGGAATAATTAGTACTATTTAATTTAGATGGTTGTAGATGCTTAATGAATCTTGAAGCAAGAATCTAAGATGTGGGGTGAAGCTGGGGGAAAAGAGGTACAGAACCCTCATTTTTTGAAATGAAGGTCAGAATGTGAGACTTGCTCACTTGCGGGCTCTCTTTGCACCCTGTATGCTTAATATTAGTGGAATTGGTCTCTTTACCATCTGCCTCCAATATGGTTGCCCTGGGTTGGCATAAATTGGCCACATTTGCACAAACAAATTTCTGTTTAATAAGGCTTTGATATCTTGGTGCAAAGATATGTAAAAGTTTCATGTACCCACATGCAGCTCCTGTGCCCTCACTTTGCTTTGCCCTTCACACACGAAGCTATGGTTAACTCTAGCTTCCTTTTGCATCTGAACTGGGAACTATGGTTAATGGCTTTCAAACAAGCCAAGATATGGAAGCCAACTTTAAACCTTCGTTTATATTATGGTTTGTTTGAAAGCCATTAATTAATTAATTTTTTTTTATCATTGCATCAAAACCACAAGCTGTGGATAACTGGCTATGTGGCTTGTTTCTCTACTCACACGGAGCAAGCAGTAAAGCAGGTGTATGCAAATTTTAATTCCAATGTTATATCATAGGGGGCATCTTATACACGATGGCTGTGCTGCACATCCACCATTACATAGACTTAAAACGCATTCTCTACCAACAGTGGAAGACTTCAATTTACTGTGGATCAAAACCCATGTTGTGTTTCTTTTTACTACTGAGGGGTAATTCAGGTTGTTTTATCTCATATTAGGATGAGCACGACAGCATTCCCATCTCCGGCTGCCGAAATGGCAGAAATGAATCGAATTCAGTATGAAATGGAGTATACTGAAGGGATCAATCAGAGAATGAGAGTTCCGGAAAAACTCAAGGTTGCTCCACCAAATGCTGACCTTGAACACAGTGCTCATGAAGGGGGGATTCCAAATGCCAGTGTAACAATGCAGGTTCCAGAGCGGATTGTAGTGGCAGGTATGTTTGCTTTCAGGTGGACAGAGGTGATAAAGCAGCATGCTGTCAGACTTCACACCCATTCAATTTATTTTTACATATGAACTTGAGTGTGATTTGCTTAAGACCAGCCAGTGAATTCATACTTCATATGGGATTTGAGCTTGATTTTACCCAGCTCCAGCAGTCTACCCATTGAGCCATTTTGAATAGTTTGTTAGTAAAATGTTCTTTAATCTTAATATTAACTTACAGGTAATAGTGAAGACATTCCACTCTCCAGGCCGCCAGATCTAGATCTTCTCCAGTCAACTCCATTCAAGTCTCTGTCACTGAAAACACCTCCCCGTGTTATTTCACTCAGTGAACGACCACTAGATTTCCTGGACTTAGAGCGAGCCCCTACTCAGACTCCTCAAAATGAAGAGGCTAGTATTCTTTATGCCTTTCATTTCATTATGTTTTGTTTCAATATTATATTTAATAAGTCAAAAGAGAAGTCAAATATTTTTTGCTTTATACTCCATTTCAGATCAGTATTATAAAATAGGTTACTGCTTTGTAGAACACAGTATATTATTTTAATACTCCCTGTTAAAAGCAAAGATACCCCCAGAACACTTTTTTGTGTGGTGCTTACTTGGTTGTATTTTTGGTACCAGGCTGCTTAGACATAATTTGGGCTATCTTGATTGTTTTTATCTGGCTTATAAGACTTAATGCCTTTTGGTCCTCAGGTTTTTATGATAATTTGGATTTGCATCTTAATCATTTGTATTTTATTATTGTGTAAACTGGCATAAGAATTTTAGTGGAAGGGCTGTATATGTTCTTGGACTACAGTTCCCATCTTTCCTGATGTTCTGTGCTTGCTGGGGCTGATGAGAGCTGGGAATCCTACAATGTCTAGAGACCCAATGGTTCTCTATTTCTGTCTTAAACCAAACTTAATTTCAAAAGCTGTTGGTAAACTTAAATTATTTTTGGCAATTTTTTCTCATTTTAAAAATTGGGGACATGCAAGAGAGGGGAGTCTTTGTTCTCCTTACTTTCCAAAATATCAGGCAAAATGTCACCATCCAGGAAGACTGTTTTTATTCATTTTCTGCTTTACTAAAAATGAAAATGGTTCAGTTGTTGATATTAGGTAAAGCTGGATACTGATGCCATAGCAGTGGTGAAAGACGTACCCCCCCCCCACTTTGTTTTGCAGGTTCGCTCAGTTGGGAGACTGAAAAGAGAACGCTCCATGAGTGAAAACGCAAATCGTCAAAATGGTCAATTGATGAGAAATGAGTCAATGTGAGTAGAGGGGTTATTGGCGCATGCAACATTTGTAGAAAAAGCTTCTTCATGTGTTCCTTACCAGTTCATGCTTAGGATATGCCTTTCAATTGATTATCTTCTTTATAAAGAGAAGTTACTTAATCTTACACAGCTACAACTGACTTTCCAAATATTTTTTGTTCTGTTTGTTGGAATAATAACTAACTATTAATGAAGTAAATTTTGTGTGATTGTTCTCAAAACATTTTTTTCAGCTGCAGAAAACAGCATTTGCTAAATGTCTTCATATAGCAGCATTTGGTATTCCCCCCCCCCCAGTATATATGTATATAGGGACGTGGTTGGCGCTGTGGGTTAAACCACAGAGCCTAGGACTTGCCGATCAGAAGGTCGACGGTTCGAATTCCCATGACAGGGTGAGCTCCCGTTTCACGGTCCCAGCTCCTGCCAACCTAGCAGTTCGAAAGCACATCAAAGTGCAAGTAGTTAAATAGGTACCGCTCCGGCAGGAAGGTAAATGGCGTTTCCGTGCGCTGCTCTGGTTCGCCAGAAGCGGCTTAGTCATGCTGGCCACATGACCTCGGCCAATAAAGTGAGATGAGTGCCGCAACCCCAGAGTCGGTCACAACTGGACCTAATGGTCAGGGGTCCCTTTACTTTTACCTTATATATGTATATATTGCTAAAATCTTGTTCTTAATTTAAAAAAACAAACAAATGCATCACGATCAGCTTAAAATGTGTTAACTTTGGCTGCAGTCCTATATCTACCTACCTTGGGAGTAAGACCCTATTAACTCAGTTAATAGGATTGCATTGTTAAACAGCCAACTTAACTGTGTGTTTATCATAATGGTTCAACACATCTTTGGAAGTCTCCTGGTACATATTAAGCTAGAGGTTGATACCCACCAGTCATGTTCAGTTGAAATTAATGAACTTCACTAAAATGACAGGTGGATATCACCCAAAATCAAATATGACAAGCTATGACAAGCTATATATCAGACTGTATATCTTCACAGGAAATGCATCATTTTCTGTTCCTTTTTTAACTAGCACTTTTTGCGTGTGTAATTCTTCTGGATAAGTGAAAATGTTCTTTAACACTTCGTATGATAATTTTTAATAGTTCCTTCTTTTTTTCCTGCATTGAATCCAGACTAAAGTGACACTTGAGCTCCATTGAAACAGAGGAGCAATTTAGTCGTGACAGACATAAGTTCTTTTAATTTCAGTGGGGGTGGCGCTGTGGGTTAAACCACAGAGCCTAGGACTTGCCGATCAGGAGGTCGGCGGTTCGAATCCCCATGACAGAGTGAGCTCCTGTTGTTCGGTCCCAGCTCCTGCCCACCTAATCAAAGTGCAAGTAGATAAATGGGTACCGCTCCAGCGGGAAGGTAAACGGCGTTTCCGTGCGCTGCTCTGGTTTACCAGAAGCGGCTTAGTCATGCTGGCCACATGACCCCGGAAGCTGTACGCCGGCTCCCTTGGCCAATAAAGCGAGATGAGCGCCACAACCCCAGAGTCGGTCACGACTGGACCTAATGGCCAGGTGTGCCTTTACCTTTACCTTTAAAGTGTCACTAACCTAGTCTGGATCCAGAACTCTCTTTATAGGATAAAGAAAGTTTGTTTCTAAAATACATTTATAGTGGATTTGTGTGAAGGGAAGTATTTCATATTGTTATTGGATCTACTTGAATCTTCTGCTGCCTGCATGCTTAGAATTAATTACATCATCTTTGTTTATGCAGTGCAAAGGACAGAGTGGGTCTTTATTACAAACTTATAAATGCTGATT